GATAATCAGTATGAACGTGTTTGTGTGATTGTTCAGTAATGGGTTAAGATAATCAGTATAAAAGTGTTTGTGTGACTGTTCAGTAATGGGTTAAGATAATCAGTATGAACGTGTTTGTGTGATTGTTCAGTAATGGGTTAAGATAATCAGTGTCTGTGTGACTGTTCTGTAATGGGTTAAGATAACCAGTATGAAAGTGTTTGTGTGACTGTTCAGTAATGGGTTAAGATAGTCTGTGTGACTGTTCAGTAATGGGTTAAGATAATCAGTATGGAAGTGTTTGTGTGACTGTTCAGTAATGGGTTAAGATAATCAGTGTCTGTGTGACTGTTCTGTAATGGGTTAAGATAACCAGTATGAAAGTGTTTGTGTGACTGTTCAGTAATGGGTTAAGATAGTCTGTGTGACTGTTCTGTAATGGGTTAAGATAATCAGTATGGAAGTGTTTGTGTGACTGTTCAGTAATGGGTTAAGATAGTCTGTGTGACTGTTCTGTAATGGGTTAAGATAATCAGTATGGAAGTGTTTGTATGACTGTTCAGTAATGGGTTAAGATAGTCTCTGTGACTGTTCTGTAATGGGTTAAGATAATCAGTATAGAAGTGTTTGTGTGACTGTTCAGTAATGGGTTAAGATAATCAGTATGAATGAGTTTGTATGCCTGTTCAGTAGACAATCAACTGACGACTTGCACCAGTAAACAACCAACTGAAGCCGTGCGCCAGTAGACAGTCAACTGACGACTTGTACCAGTAGACAATCAACTGAAGACTTGCACCAGTAGACAATCAACTGACGACTTGCACCAATAGACAATCAACTGAAGCCGTGCACCAATAGACAATCAACTGACGACTTGCACCAGTAGACAATCAACTGAAGCCGTGCACCAATAGACAATCAACTGACGACTTGCATCAGTAGACAATCAACTGAAGCCGTGCACCAATAGACAATCAACTGACGACTTGCACCAGTAGACAATCAACTGAAGCCGTGCACCAATAGACAATCAACTGAAGCCTTGCACCAATAGACAATCAACTGAAGCCGTGCACCAATACAATTTTGATTGGTAATATGTTTGAATGTTAAAAAAGCAGAGACCAGGCTGTAAATGTGCTAGATGTACAGGTTTTCCTCACAAGCCTCACTAATGGGAAATTTAATACAAATATGTTCTCGGCTCTGTATTTTGGACTTTTCAGTTCAAAAAGTATCAAAGGGTTGAGAAAGCATTAAGGGATGGGGAGTAACATCCGTTCAGAGTTATTTAAAGAGTTTAAAATATCCCCAGTAGCCGCTTATTTAAGAAGTTGTAGAGATGCGAGATGGAAAGATCAGATTCATAGTTTATGTTCTCCCTGTTAGAGTATATAGGGTATAACACTGTGCCCTGGACAGATGTTTGTGAACCTCACCAGGCTGCTGAAAACTATCAATAATACACCCACCTTGTATTATATTCAACCTATTGAAATAAGTAGTAATTATTAACCAACTTTCAAACAATCTTCACTCAATTCTTTTTGTGTAATCACGCCTCCTTGCGAACTCTTATAAGTTACTGGATATTTTGTTACCGATGATTCAAACTACAGTTAATTAATTATGCTTCAAATGCCGTCTTCCCTCTAGTACACCTCCAAGTGAGAATGAAATGCTACCCCTCAAACACATGTAATAATTACTACTTATTTCAATAGGTTGAATATAATACAATATGGGTTCCTCTAGTACACCTCCAAGTGAGAATGAAATGCTACCCCTCAAACACATTTAATAATTACTACTTATTTCAATAGGTTGAATATAATACAATGTTCTCTTCCCTCTAGTACACCTCCAAGTGAGAATGAAATGCTACCCCTCAAACACATTTAATAATTACTACTTATTTCATTCCCTCTAGTACACCTCCAAGTGAGAATGAAATGCTACCCCTCAAACACATATAATAATGAGGTTTCGTGAGGTGTGTGTTACGTCTTGCCATGGTCTTTATATGTCATATCCCTCTCACTAATTAGATTTGAAGCTTTCGTTTACGACCGTTTGATGTGTTCGGTAACTAATTATGAACGTAATGATCTTTGTTAAGGGTAAGATAGTGAATTAGATACCTGTCTGGTGGTATCAACTAGAGTGATGTGTTACTGTAGGATAGTGAACTGGCTACCTGTTTGGTGGTATCAACTAGAGTGACGTGTTACTGTAGGATAGTGAACTGGCTACCTGTCTGGTGGTATCAACTAGAGTGACGTGTTACTGTAGGATAGTGAACTGGCTACCTGTTTGGTGGTATCAACTAGAGTGACGTGTTACTGTAGGATAGTGAACTGGCTACCTGTCTGGTGGTATCAACTAGAGTGACGTGTTACTGTAGGATAGTGAACTGGCTACCTGTCTGGT